AGCTATTAAGTCACGATAGTGAACGACAGCCTCGATTTGGCAGTTCGAGTATCGTTGATGTTCGGGGACGATTCGATACTTGGAAGGAGGCACTTCAACCCACGACATGCCAGAAATCTGTTATAGTCGCTAGGTTAGAAGACAAAAGGCACGTCAAATAGCATTGCTTTACTTACACCAGTGTCAATCATAAAGCGCAGGATATACTGGATGTTATCAAACGTAAGAATGCCATCTGTGCCGCCGACTTTCCAGAGCCCTCTGTAATTTGCGTTTCCGCTCTCAATGGTTGAACGAACCCTGTTGATGTATTTCGGATCTGTGACAGTAATCCTCAAGTAAGGATGTTGCTGATTACCCTGGAAGCCCAAGAGGTTTTCCTTCATCACCATTTGGACGTTGTGTATCACAGTCTGGTGATTCCCAACGTGGTTCTCGAGATAGGCGCCGAACGGTTCGCAGTCCGATTTGGTAAAGGAAACAGGCGCAGCAACATATAGATAGTGTTTAAAATCAGTAACATGTAAAAGAACAGAATGTCCGGTCTGAGTAAGAAGAATGTCAGCTTCATTGACGTCGGCTCGCTAGGTTTATCTTAATGGACCGTACCTCTGTAACGCCGAATAATCTCACCGCGGTTTGGTCACCTGAAAACGGACCCTCTTCGGCCTCAATCTGCTGAAAGCAGAGAGAGTCCCTCATAGGATCGAAATCATCCAGGCTAGGCCGCTCCCACTGTTGATCTTTCTCTGCATTGGACTCTTTAAGCCCGCTGATGTCCTGCGTCAATTTCTCCAGAACTTCCTCAACGAACTTGCTTTTATGCTGGGACTGGCTGGAAGCGGGAGTAGCAGCCTTTCGGAATCCATCCTGCAATCGAGGCCTTGTAATGATACTGGGCTGATCGGCTTCAAGTTTCCGCTTCTTCGTCGCGTTAGGAGATACGGGTTGCAAATTCTCGTGAGCCTTGGTGGAATCGCCGAGAATTCGCTTTTGCGGCTTCAGAATAGCTTCAGGCATGATCACATTGGCAAACTGGGATGGCAATCAATGTGAATTGAAAGCAATTTACGGAGTAGACGATGGTAAATCATGGAAGATGATTTTCGTGTTAAGTCGCGTTTCCCCGAGTGCTCCTGACGTGACGCATTTGGCGTGTTTGCCAATTAAACTGCTTATGTCAGGCAGCGGACGCGCTCTGTGTTCATCACGTGATATGTCGTCATCGTATGGCGCCGAAATTGCCGACGACCATCAGTAATAGACAGCCGAAGAACAACGTCAACACGGAGCACCTGTTGCTCTTAAATCACAATCCTTTATGCTATGAGATAACACATTTATACATCTTGCTGGCAATTCATTTGTTCGACGATCTATGTCCGTCCACACCAGTATTCATTGAGACCCAAAAGGTCCCTGGCAGCTGTGGAGTAAATAGGACTACTCCGTACTTATTGGGAAATAGGCCCCAACCCGTAAGAGCTACTCACTCATAGAAATAACAGAATGGCCCGTCAATTACATCTACGGTGTCGCGGATCTGTACTGGATCAGTGATAGGCGTCAAATCGATCAGATCGTCTAGAGTTCCCTTGCGAGATGGGGGAAGGTTTTCATAAGTTAGGGTACCGTAAAGGGTATCTTTCCTCGTCTCGATATCCAGCCACTGCCAAATTGCCCATATACGATCTACTTGGGCGTGGTGTGGGAAGAATAAAGGGTCCTGTGGGCTAGCGTAAAGGTCCGAGACTGCCCGTAGCTAATCAGCCAGACGTACAGTATATCAAAAATGGTTGGAGTATGTGGAAGGAAGAACTTGTAATCAACGTCTGAAAATCACTTACATGCTCCATTCATTCCACCGCCGAAATAATGCCCACCGCCATGGGCTCCAAATTTGTTGAGCTGGTAGTTGGAATGACCCTGCCTCCTATCCCCTGTAATACGTGCTTGGAATCCCATCACGTCGGTGCTCTCCTCAATAACCCAGACGGACCAATTAAATGCAAGATAGTGCTGCCCGATATATGGGTTTAAATCGCGCCTCAGACAGTGAGGTCGATATTCAAACTTCCCCTCAAGACGCCGATAAGATGCTTGCGAAATCGGACCAAAATTGACGGTCATGTCGGAAAATGGACCAGTATGCACGCATCCTCCACCAGTTCCTGCTGGGAACTCGCTGTTGTACTCCCTTGATGGTTCGAATGGCGGGGGAGGCCATAAAACCCATGTCTCATTGCGTTCAACAGCAGCACCGTTGCTCCCAAGGCTGTAATCTGAGCCATCGAGAATCGGGGAGCTATCCGGTTCATATACGTCGTATCCCCATTCCCAGTATCTTCTCATGGTTAACAAACAGGATTGTTGGATAGGGTTTTTTTTCTTTTTTTCTTTTTTTTGGAAAGGGGGGGATAGTCTTACGGGTGCTCCCCTTCATATCCACATTCTTCCCTGAGAACTTTCTCGTACACAAAAGTGAAGTAACGATGCCAGTGTAAGAAAGAAAACTAGTCTATTTTAGCGAGGATTCGTGATCCAAAAGCGGAAAGGCATAAGAATACTCACATTGTTATGGATTGTATGTGTTTGATTGATATGAAGAGTGGTAAACGTATCGAAAAGGCCTTTGGCTGCGGGGACAATTCTTTCATCCAAAAGGGAAGGTTTCTTTTGTACACAGTAAACAGCATCGATATAATTTCTCCGCTCTTCTTCAGATAGGGTGCGCCTATGAAAATTAAGTATTGCTTCAAATGTTTGCAAATATAAGAGGCTCACCATTCCTTACGGATCTTCAATGTCTCAAGGGTACATCCATGACCTCCGTAATCGCCACTAGTTTTGAGTGCGCGCTCCTCCAGTGCCTTTTCAAGGTTCTCTCTTGCCTTGGCCTGGAGCTCAAGCAGCCTTTCTGCACTGTCTTTGTCTTTGGTAGGGGCAAGGAGAGGAGAAATTGCAGCAGATATAGCCAGTCTCCACAGAAGAACCCAAAGAATAAATGCAGAAGGGATCATCGTACCAAGCGTTATCCCAAAAGAGACTATCCAATTGTATCCCGATTATCAGAACCAGCTATAGAAGCCTATAATAGCCGCACAAGAGCGCTGCTAGTCTTTCAAGGAGAGTTGAACCATGCCAATGAAGAGTACCAAAGGTTATATATAAAGGTCGAGTAGAAATACTGGCAGATCTCAGCTCTTAATGGCAGCAGAGCGCCAACAAGAACAACAGGCTGGCAACTGAATTTCCGAAGGCCGAGGATCTGCCAATTCTCCATTAAGTGCCGCAGACTTTGATAGCATGGCACAAATGACATAAAACTACTAAAGGCAGGTGTTCAGGACATTCCATACCTGCAACCTCCAAATAATGAAATAACAAGCCGAATTTCAAAATGAACCAAAAATTTGTCAGGGGCTTCACGCGGTTCGGATGAGAACTGAAAACGTTGTCGAATGATAAGGCCTCTAAAATGCAAAGGTATGGCTCATACTCGGAAACAAGAGATATGGACTGGTAGCCTCGTAACGACAGGGCCATACCTAGAGTAGAGGTAAGTATGGAATCTTAGCTTCGTTAGACGATTTGAATCTAGATTGCCTGTATAGATTGTTGTCTAGCCAGGAGGGGACCACTGCCAGAAGTTTGTTTCGCCTGGGAACACAGCCACCTGTACTGCCGCGCAGGTGCATATCAGGATTCTAGTTTCACTTCAAACATTGAATGCCAGCTTTGTCCAGATAGGAGAGTAACATAAAGCAAGACCCTAGCAGAACAGATTCGAGCAACACAGAACTGCAGTGTCGCTGGGTGATACCGAAAGGAGTGGATGGATCCTGCCACATTCTAAGTGCCCTTTGGATATATAAATGGTTATGTGAGAAGAATATTGAGACAGATTATAAAGTTGATCTTTATCTCACCAAGGCCTTGTTTGGAGTGAATTGCCACAGTAACAGATTAAATGAAGTGTTCCATGGAACACTATCCATGCCAAAAAGGGAATACCAAAGCGAGTTATCAGCCAACTATTAACCCAAGAATATATCTCAGAAGGAAAGTTAAAAGAGTATGGTCCGGCATGGCTTGGAGCTGACAAAGCCATCAAGGTCAAAGAATGCAGCTATCTTACAACAACGCACCCCAAAGACACCGTATCATAGAAAGAAAGAGGTCAAAAGAGTCCCTCTGAGGTATTTGAAGTATAATACAATGCTCAAAACCAATATTAGATCCCAACAAGTTGCCTCTTTGGGTTCTCTCAAGTCTCGTCGGTCTTTTTGACGGAGCTGTCCTTAAGGGTTCCGGTACTTCAAAAGGAATAGACGGAATTGTGAATGGACTTTTCAGCGGTGTTCCATTCTCCAAACACCGATGATCGTGGCCCAACGGCAGAGACTGGATCGAAATAGCCTCGGGAAACCTTCACATGGATTTGCGCGTGATGGAGCAATCCACACACGAGCAAGAGAGCCAGGATGTCATCTCTGATCTCGTAACTGCCAGACTGTGCGACAGAGCCCCCAAGCCATTCTGTAGCACAGCGTTGTAGTGCTTTTGCTCCGATCCAAGATGCAAGATGCGTCCAGTGGCAGGGCGGGCAGGAAATACCTCGCGAGAGTTACGCAGGGTGCAGGACGGCGCTAGTCCTAGATAGGGTTAGACTGTGCTTGTGGGCTCAGGTCGCCCCAGTCCGCCGTAGATTGCCGCCGATTGGTTGGGGCGGACGAGGCTGGCCCATCTCGAAGTCGCCCAGGGCTGGAAAAAGAGACTCGAGTCAAGCGTGATGCTGCGACAGAGCAGCACCTCTTTGCCGGACAGCCGTTGAGACCCGTGAACCTCCCGAAGGAGCCTTTTTTTTTGCCCGATAACTGCTCCGTAGCGAGATGTTGAACCGGCCGTGAATGAACGGGGCATGCCATCCCATAAGTTCTACGATCAAGCCAGTGCCATGTAACCGGCCGGGCCGTCACGGCTCACTGCTCTGAAAAATCCCGATCTGTGCGCGCGCCTATCGGCGAAAGGGAGTGGCCAACCGTCCAATTCCTCAGTAATGGGCCCAAGGCGGAGCCATCGCAAGTCCCGCCTGGGATGTTTGCAGTGCAAAAGAAGGAAAATCAAGGTATGACGGCCGAAGCGCGGTTTCCAGTCGTTTGTCCATGATAAATCGCTAAGTGTGCTCTTCATTTGCTTTTGGATCTCTCGTTCTTTTGCGCATTTTGGAGCTAACTTGCTATTGTGTGTTGCACAGTGTGACGAGGCTCCTCCGCCATGCGGGAATTGCAAGAAGCACAATATCGAATGCCAGTTCGCTGCAGTTCCGGTCAAGTCGTCCAGTGCTGCAAAACATGGGCCACCGTCACAAGCCCGCCCTGTCCTTCCTCCCCCCGGTGCTCTTATTGCGACAGCAGGTCGAGTGAACCCCGTGAACAACCTGCACACAGGGGCCACCCCAGCCTATCTCCCGCCTACTCCTCCGAATGCTTTCAATACCACTCCATCCGGCGCTGACCAGCTTGACATCTTCAGCTCCTTCGTCGGGCCCACGACCGATCTTATCTCTGACCTGCATCTTCATGACCTCGAGCTGCTACATCACTACACAACTCAGACATATCGCACGTTATCCTATAATAATGAGCACAAGGAGATATGGAAAAACTACATTCCCAAGGAAGCCCTGTCGCACCCTTTTCTCATGCACGGCCTTCTCGCAATAGCAGCTTTACATCTTTTCGAATACTGTGCGGAAGAAAGCGATGACCGCAGAAAGTACCTAGAACTGGCCACCCGGCATCAGAATCTAGCCCTGTCCTCGTTCCGACCACAACTCAGTAACATTACACCCTCAAACTGCCAGGCGGTGTTCGCCTTCTCCAGCTTAATCGCCGCCTTGGCATTTGCGTTCTCCAAATCGGCAGGAAACATCCGTGCCGGCGAGCCGGTCGAGCAGGTACTACAGGACTTCTTCCTCTTCCGCGGCGTCGAAGGCGTCTTGACCGCATTCTGGGATATCATCCGCAAGGGCAAACTCGGGCCACTGGTCCACCGACCGTCAGACCCGACGTGCTCCCAGCCTATATCAAGGGATGTAATTAATGCTCTCGATTATTTGCACGACTGCAACGGCGAAAATGTCACCCAAATCAGTGCCGAGGAAAAAGCCGCATACAACCACGCCATCCGAGAACTCCGGATTTCATTTGAAAGGTCTCCGTCGAGCTGGGAGACGGTATTTCGCTGGCCGATTGTTCTACCAGAGGCTTACCTGACGCACTTGAAAAACAGGCGGCCGATGGCCCTGGTGATTCTCGCACACTACTGCGTTATACTGGGTCGGCTCGACGCGTGCTGGTGGTCACAAGGCTGGAGCGGACACCTTTTCGAAGCCATATATCGGTCTTTAAACGTTTCTTGGCGACCCTTACTGCAGTGGCCAATGCAGATGATTGGCCTCACAGAGAGATTGGCCAATATACCATAAGTTTCTACTAGTAGTTTGCAATTTTTGGGCGGTATTTTGGTTAGCGGGTGCCGTACGGGGTATACTCAATAAACCAATGAAAGACCTTTTTTTTTTTTTTCAAATCGTGCCTAAGATGAATACACGGAGGCGAAAAATATATCGGATGAGGGTGGCGATGAAGGATTATGGGTTCCCTGAGGCCCGACCACCAGGATCGGAAAGGGTCAAAATTGGTCATTAGCTATATCCCCTTATTACACATAAGTTCAAAACTAGATTTTTAACTGGAATGTTGGGTTTTTCAATTTACAGTGGCATGTACGGAGTACTTTACAATCAATTTCTGTTCAGGTTATTAATGTCGACTATCTATTTCATGATTGGGAGTTCTTCGTAAACGCATAAAAATCATCACGACATGATCACAGGGACAGTGTCCATGTTCGCTATTAAATCCATATGTCCGGTGTTTGCATCTGTAGGTTCGTCTGTGTGTAATATTTCATGCCCCCGAGTTATCCTCTGTCAAGGACAGAATTTCTTCCAAGCACGACTTGACGTCCTTACACGTCCATCTCCTACGATGGTCCAGCTCCACCATTCCGGTAATACATCGCGCAAGTTTCTCGGGAATCGCCACTGCATTGTCCTCACAACCGACGGTTGTCCCAGAACAATCAACCTTGGCCATAAAATCGCTCGGTAAAATCGGCTCCACCCCCCTCTCGGGCATGTTGGTGCGCGAGGCACGTTTCGCCCAACCAAAGCCGTTTGGGGAGCAGGTTAAATCTGACAGCACCATTTGTCTTTCCATACGGGTGTCGAATTTGTATAATAGCTCAAAGAGTATAACCCCGAGCGCATAAACATCCAGGGACTCGTCAATTTGAAGTTTGCCAGCAACCTTGGCCGGGCAACAGCAAGGTGGGCTGTCACTGTTTTCGGGAGGGCTGGCGTGGAAATGGTTGCGTCTGCAACCCTGGGTGCTGTGCTTACACTGACATGCCGGTGGGCGGTAGAATTCGGTGCCAACAGGGCCGGGGCTCGTGTGAATACTTGTCCGGTTGCTTTCCCCGTCATTGCACGGAGATATATCCGCGACCAAGCCGAAATCGCCGATTCGTGGAATAGTATAGTGAGTTGCACATTTGCCGTCCCTTTCACATGGCAGACAAGGCGTTACATCCTGGCTTGAGGGAAGGGAAAGGAAGACATTTGCCGGTTTGAGGTCGCGGTGGACAATTCCTTGGGCATGAAGATATTCCACACCAGATAGGATTCCTAGAAGAATACGAATCGAAGGCATGAGACGGTAACAATGGCGTGGTGAATCACCTGCAGACTCATCGCTTTGCGTACGAAGATACTTTGCTAAGCTCAGTGGGTGTAAAGACATTTGTATGTGCAAAGTGATCGGGGACACCTTGCCACCGACGGCTTTGCGGTCCACTTGAATAGACATGTTCTCTCCTGCTCCATCAGTGAATATATCAGTTTCCAATTCGCTCGTTGAAATCGTTGCTTGAGCTTTCGCGTCATAGCTAAACCGTCTCCCAATTGATTCCACCTCATCTTCATCCACTTGGCCGTCATCCTCCCCATTATAACTTTCAACGAAGCTTCTCCGAGGCTTTCGAGAATCCGCTGTGTCTCTAACCCCTCGCTGAACTTCTGGAGAACTTGACAGTGAGACAGCTTCTTCAAAAGCACGCTCGTCCCTAGAAGAGGCTTCGAAAACGATGCCGTGGCTAGAATCTTCGAACACAACCCCGTGGCTTGACTCATCTTCACCCACTGTGCCCTGACTTAAAAGGCCTAAAGGTCTATTCACCGGTCTGGCTGGTTCTGAAGGCAATTGCACCGCAGCACTGTATTCAGCCCAGGCACCAAAATACCGCACAACATTCCCATGATCTAACCGGGCAAGTGTCCTAATCTCCCTCAAAATATGATCCAATTCCTGTATTCCGCGATCTTGCAACTGCTTTACTCGCTTCGAGCTCAGGGGGATTTTCTTAACCGCATAAAACTGGCCATCGACATAGTTCTTCGCTTTGTACACAACACCATAAGAACCTTTTCCTATCAAAGATTTTTCTTCAAACTCTGCTGCGTATCGAGACATCAAAATGCTCGGGTTATATGACTGGTAAACGCCCGGTAGGTTCACGAATGGAATATGACCCATTGGGTGGACGGGCGGCGTTTGCATAAAATTCAATGGAGTTGGTAGACGATCCCCAAGCGCAAGTTCAGTACCGCTAGTCAGCAGTCTCTGAGCAGGAGGTCTGTTCTCTGATCCCAGGGGCAGCTTGTTTGCTCCTAGATCGTCGCGATCCTGCGGCGATCTTTCCGTGGTTCCGCGACCCAGCACTACTCGACTTTCACTTTTCTTCCCTGTGCAAGATGGTAGAGAATCTCTCGCGTTCAAATCCATTCCTTCCAATGCGGACAACCCAAGGACATCCAAACTTTCCCTGTAGTATTTCCTGGTCGTCTCCCAATCATCTCCGTCAACACCAGCTGCCAGGACTCCATTGGCTGACAGGAACCGAGACTTGTGGGCATAAAGACGTCGCCCCAGGAGCTGAACCTCAGGTGATTCGCGCGTGAATCGCCCATGACTTCCCGCTTGGGCATTGAGAATTTCTGTCGCTTTGGAGAGACAATAATACTCCAGCAGAGCGGTCGTCATCATGGTCGCGTGTCCCTCGGCATCTAATCCAGCAATTTCATGCTCTGGATCTCTATGCTCCAAGACCCCTTCAAATGAACCCGTGATGGCTTCGTCGAACGAGGGTTGACGTTCGCGCCTCTCATGCCGATCTCCGGTGGAATCTTCATTATGGGGCAGCTGGTGTTCATTTCCATCACGATTATACTCATCTTTGTCGGATACGCTATCCTCGTCGGATGACGATATGTCAACTGGGGAGCGAAACAGAGACATTTAGGGTATCAAGATGAAAATAGGCAGTGGACCGGGGAAAAGCAGCCCATAGAAAACAGCCTCGACAAATTAATAATTAGTATAGAGGAATCGCAGTTAAGCTATGTCTCCTCGGCCTGAGGAGCTCTGCGCAATGTGATGCTCTCTCACGCCCGTGGAGGTGGGGACCCAAGCATCGCAACCCAGAGAAAAGAAAGAGAAAACTGAAAATGAGAAAATAGCAAAGGCCCCAATGTCAATTGAATTCTTGCATACTGAAATGTCGAATGTTCCCTGTCATTTCAAATAGACACTGTGAATGATTCTTGTTGCTTGACGGGTTTGGTTGATTCGGCGCGTGTGAACAGTTACTTACTTATGCCAATAAGGTTCGATCAGATTCCATGCGATTCAACAGGCCAGGCTGTTGTCTTGACGGTTGTTAGGCAGCAAAACATATCAGGCTGCTTTATTCTGCTTGAGAGCTTTTTGAAATACCTCTTATAATCAAGAGAGACCCTGAGTTTTCCCAAAATGCTACACACATCCTCAGTCCAGAGTTGTAACCTGTGGGTAGTGAGGGGAGGGCGCAAGCTTTTGACCTAGCTAGTAGTTCCTAGTTAACTGATTAACTACTCTAAGGATGTTGAGGAATTGCTCTACTGTTAAAATTCTTTCAAATTATCTAGCAACTCTGATCATATCAGTTTGATCGCGTTTACCGCAGTTGAAATCCTTCTCATTCCTTTTGATATGATGCTAGAAAGAACTATTGTTGAAGCATTAAAAAAAGAAAAAAAAAATCAATTAGAATTAGTATTTGGTATTGGTTTACTACCTAAAAAAAGCTCTTCTTGGATTGAACAAATATCAACTGGCCCTGCACTGGGCCGCATGATAAACAGAACATGGTGGATTTTCGACCCCTGTACTCTGTACTCAGTACTCTTTCAGTAACTCATGTTCAAGCAAATCTACGGCAAGGAGGGCATGCGAAGAGCTTGACTGACTAGTTGCATCGCCAGCCATTAACTAGAGCATAGCCACATTTTGAAGTGTGTCTCTGAATGCTTAAAGCCTTGTGCTTCACAAATATGGCCTGAATTGGGCTCTCCATGATATCTGACGCACTCCCACAACATATTTTGCAACAAGATGTCTGTAGGGTTCGGGTTTTCTGTTGGTGATTTCCTCGCGGCTCTCAGACTTGTCGGAACTGTCATTGATGCTCTCCGTGAGTCGTCCAACTCAGGATCAACATACCGCGAGCTTCTCAATGAGCTCTACTCCCTCGAGACAGCGCTCCTGCGCGTCAAGCGCATCGATCTTGACGGATCTCAGCACGCTGAGAAAATCGCATTGCAACAGGCCGCCGCGCAATGTCAGAGAACGATTGATTCCTTCTGGAAGAAGGTCGAGAAATATCAACCGCATCTGCAAGGCGGTGGAACAAGTTCAAAGCTCAAGGATGGGTGGAGCAGGATAAAGTGGGCTGTTTGCCGTAAAGATGATATACAAAACTTCCGGGCTGAGATCGCAGCCCACACCAGCTCCATTGAGGTCTTGCTGTTGACCGTCCAAATGAACGCCACCACCATGCACGCTCGCGCTGAGCAGCGCCAATACGGGACCCTGGCGGGGAAGATACAAGCGTTATCAAATCAAGGCATGAGCAAGCTCGCTATTATCGCCGATAGCATCGCCCAAAGCGTCCAGCAGGGGGGACGCCTGCTTGAGACAAGCGAAAAGGTTCTACAGACAAACTTACGAGCGTTCCAAATGATTCATGATATACAACGCTTTCTACTACATATTCCGACTTAGGTCCAACGCCAGCAGCCTGTCTACATGATTGATGCGTTCAACAAGGAGAGTCCCTTTCACCTGGAATTTGTCCGGTCTGCCGAAGCCTTGATTTCAATCCTCAAGGTGAACTTCAAAGCGTCTGGCTGCGGACCGGGAATGATTGACAGAGGTGAATTCCTCATAGAGGAGTCCGGTACTCAGAATTTGATTGACATTTCTAAACCTTGGGAAACATGCTTTTATCCGGGACAGCGTGTAGCCATGTGTATGCTCTTTAAAGAAAAACGCGTGCGAGCATCTTGCCCAAGATGTGGAGCGGAATTCCAGGGCCCAACGGATAAGGAGGTAGAATGGTAAGTGAAAGCGTCCTTTACCATCTCGAATAGCTCTCTTTTACATTTACATGTCTAGTAGTCGATATTGTAGCCTACTCTTTCCAAACTGATAGTATCAAAAATTATTAATGGGATCCTTTCTTGCTGCTGTTTCATTCAAGGTTGCTGACATGGCGTAGCATTACTTGTGGAACCGTATTTTGTCGGGTTAAGGAACCGAGCCGAGCGGTGCAAACACCCACGTGGAAGGATATTCATCCCGATGAGCATGTGCCCCTGCACCCGGGGAAAATGAACCAGCCCGGAAAGAGGAAACATCGGGAGAACGATGAACCCGATATTCAGATGTTTCGACGCGTCCGTATCATTAATCCAATGGAATTCGCCCGGCCAGATACAGGTTTGATCACAAAACACAACCTTTTCTTGAGAATGAAGGGCGCCATTCCAGGGGACCTTTGGAAGTGCACACGAGATCAGGCACTGGACCTGTGTAGGGCTGAGGAATTGCCTAAACAGCAAGGGCTCAGGAAGATCCGTGGTTCAGTGGTTTCCTTAACATGAGTTCAGTGTCAGGGAGAGGAATATCTGTTTTCTTGCTACCCCTTGACATCTCTTATTTTCAGTGACAAACGGCTTCGCCCCACGCCCATAATTTGGGACCTACAGACAGGCCAAAAAAAGATTTCCCATCATTGCAAATTTTGTAGACCAAGCAGTTAATTATGCAAACTCGATAGCTTCTTTGTTAACTGTTTTGTTATTTTTGAAAAATAGAGGGTTTAAACTAATAGAGGAAATTGTTGGCTGGTGAATTACATGAAAACAGTAAGGTAGTTCACCACTAAGCAAGCCACACCACTAAACAAGCCAAATCTTCCACCACCAAAATTCCTCCAACATTCAACATTCAATATGTGACAACATGGTCAACAATGCCTCAATTAGGCTTGCAATTGAAGATCTTGAATTGCAAGAGATCCCAAATTATGCTGCAACTGCAAGAAAGTACTCAGTTAATCAAGAGACCCTGCACTGATAGTATAAAGACTTGCAACTTGCTCAGGATGAAGCAGCCTCCTGATATAAGAAAAAGCTCTCTGATATACAGGAGGCAGAGCTCCTGAATTATATAAACAAGCTCTCTAGCTGTGGCCTTGCCATTACACCTCAGATCCTATGAAATATTGTACAAGAGATGACAGGAGAGGATGCTGGGATCAACTGGATTAATTAATTTTGTGAGTGACATAATGACAAGATCAAATGCATTTATCTCAAAGCAATTAATTAAAATAGGCAGGTAGCAGATAACTATCAGTGCTTTAAGCACTTCTATATGCTTGTAATTTGATGATTTATTTGATTACTTGTGATTGCAGTTATTGATGCTGGCTAACTATTTGACTACTACTTATGGAATAGTTAGAGCAGAAAATTGATCAATATAATCTTAAGCTCTCAAACATCTACAACTTTGATGAAAAAGAATTTCTTCTAGGCTCCTGCTATGTCTCAAAGTGATTAGTCTCTATTGAAGCTCTATAAGCTGGAAAGAATGCTGTCATTCAGAATAATAGTCAGGAATTCTTCTTATTGCTCTGCTCAGTCTCTGCTGAAGAAATTGCACTACCTCCAGCTCTTATTTATCAGAGCAAATTACAAGATCTCCAGAATACATGACTAGATGATTATGATGGAAGTGAATGGGCCTACTTTACAGCTTCAACAAATGGTTGAAGCAATGATGAATATGAACTGGAGTGGTTGAAATGGGTTTTCAATTGGCATACTAAGAAACAAGCTAGTTGAGAAAGATATCTGCTTCTACTAGATGATCATTCCTCTCATATAAATATGAAATTTATTGAATATGCTGACTGTAAAAAGATTCTTCTTATGATTCTTCTGCTACATTCAATCCACTATTTGCAATCTCTTGATGTTGGAATCTTTGGGCTGCTGGGCAAGGCATATTCCAATGAGCTGGAAGCACTACTACATCAAGAAATAAGCTATATTTGAATGACAAAAAGGAATTTCTGGAGACTATTTAATATGGCTTGAAAGAAGACTTTGACAGTTAAAAATATACTTGCTGGCTTTGCAAAGACTGGAATTAACTCTCTGAATTCTCAATATTAACTACACTGATTTGAAACTGCTCAAGCCCCTACACTGCCAGTTAAATCTTCTATTTCTAGCAATATGCACTAGCTCTGACAAGAGATCAAGAGTATATGTCTCTGGCACAGTCTAAATTTGCAGAGCATTGAATGGATTATTCAAGCTAGTGAGCAGTTTGCTCTTTGTAATGAACTGCTGGAACATGAGAATCAGTAGCTAAGATTAACTCTAGTGATGGAGAAGCAATGCTGCAAGTGAGACAAGCCTCTAGATCTACTCAATAGAGATAATTCTAGTCAAGTGCAGTTCTGGTCTCCAACAAAAGTTCTTAAGGCATGCAAGCATCTGGATAAAATAGAGGCTGAAAAAGCTGATAAAATTGCTCAAACATAAGAGATAAAACTTCAACAAGAGCTTCAAAAGGAGCAGGCTGCTAGAAATATTGAAAAAAGGCAGATTAAACAGAAGAATGCCTGTAAAAAGACCTGGAAGCAATAAGAGACTGAAAAAATTAAATGTACTAGGCAAAGAGAGACACAATGTGTTGCTTGTGAGGAGAAGAAGACTTTACAACTAGCAGAGAAGGAAAAATGAGCAGTTGAATGTGCTAATAAATACTAGCAGTCAGGGCTTCAAGCACTGACTTCAAAGCACTGTCAGAAGAACTCCCCTACTAAAGAGTCTTATTGTGGAGAGCCTATACAACCTTCCAAAAGAGGAAGTAAGAGCTCTACAAGCATCTCTAGCAAGACATTAGGCTCTCTAGCTGAGAAATCTACTGTTGACATTCCTTTGAATTCTTTCCTATCTATCCCCTGAATCTCTTGCTCTGGCTGTAATATTAGGCTGTCCACCCATTTATTTTCCTAACTATACTAATTTCTATGCTTTAAAGAATACATTTATTTAATATTTAATAGCTATTTAATAATAAAGATCTGGTTGTTGAGATATTTAATAAATTCATTGCATGGAGCATTTGGCGAAATTTGGCTTGTTTAGTGGTGTGGCTTGTTTAGTGGTGAACTACCTTAAGGTGGCTCACCACTCAACAAGCCAAACCACTCAACGAGCCAAATTTTCACACCATCAAATTTCTTCAACACTCAACTTCAATATGCAATAGCATGGTCAACAACAAAGCAATTAAGCTTGCAATTGAAGATCTTGAATCACAAGAGACTCCAAATTACAGTGCAACTGTGAAAAAATATTCAGTCAGCTGAGAGACCCTGTGCCAGCAGCATCAAGGCCTACAAGTTGATTGCCATGAAGCAACCTCCAGACATAAGAAGAAGCTCACCAATATACAGAAGGATGAGCTTCTAGAGTATATAAACAAGCTCTGCAACTGTGGCCTTGCTCCTACATCTCAAATCCTTCAAAATGTTGTGCAAGAAATGACAGGAGAGAACATGGAAATCAACTGGGTGACACAGTTTCATAAGCACCACAAGAACAAGATCAAGTCTGTTTATCTCAAGCTGCTTGACAAGAATAGACAGATAGCAGATAATTACCACTGCTTTCAGCACTTCTATAGTCTTGTACTTGAATGCTTTTTTTACTTCTTTGCAAGTGCAGTTGTTGAATTTGGCTAACTTGTTATGCTGCTGCATTTAGTTGAGTGAGAAAATCAGCCAGTATAATATTATACCAGAAAACACATACAACTTTAATAAAAAAGGATTCCTCCTAGGCTCCTGTCATGCCTCAAAGCACCTTGTCTCTATTAAAGCTCTACAAGCTGGTAAAAGTGTTGCAACTCAGGATGGAAGCTGGAAATTCCTCTCACTGCTCTGTTCAGTCTCTGCAGATGGAATTACATTACCTCCAGCTCTTATTTATCAGAGTGAATCCAGAGATCTTCAGGATACATGGCTGGATGATTTTAATGGAAGTGAATATGCCTACTTTGCAGCCTCAGTGAATAGCTGGAGCAATGATAAATATGGCCTGGAGTGGTTGCAACAGGTTTTTAATCTGCATACAAAGGCAAAAGCAGGTAGGGCAAGATATCTGCTTCTATTAGATGGGCATTCTTCCCATATAAATATGAAATTTATTGAATATGCAAACCACAAAAGAATTCTGCTGTTGATCCTTCCACTGCACTCTATCCACCATTTGCAGCCTCTTGATGTTGGTGTTTTTGGGCCACTGGGCAAGGTGTATTCCAGCAAGCTGGAATCTCTACTACACTGTAGACTGAGCTATATTCAAATGACAAAAAGGGATTTCTGGAGACTATTCAATGCAGCATGAAAGAAGGCTTTGACAGGTGACAATATATGTGCTGGCTTTGCAAAGACTAGAATTTATCCCCTGGATCTCCAGCATCAACTAAGCTGATTTAAAACTGCTGATCAACAAGACCCTGCATCACTAGTTAAGCCTTCCATCCCTACAAATATACAGGAGCTTCATCAAGAGATTAAGAGTATTTGTCTTTGGCACAGCTTAAATTCACAGAGTATTAGATGGATTATCAAAGCTAGCAAGCAATTTGCAATATGAAATGAACTGCTAGAGCATGAAAATCAGGCTCTAAAATCAACTATTGTGACAGAGAAACAGCACTGCAAGTGAGGCAAGCTCTAGACCTACTTGATCACAATAAGCCAAGCCAGACCCAGTTCTGGAGTCCTACAAAAGTCCTGCAGGCTCAGAAATGCCAGAATGAAATAGAGACTGAGAAAGCTCACAAAATTACTCAAACACAAGAGGCAAAGTTTCAACAGGAGCTCCAAAGAGAGCAGGCAGCTAGAGAGACTGAAGAAAAATAGATTGAATGAGAGACTGCCCATATGAAGGCCTGTGAGCAATAAGAGACTGAAAAGCTTGAACATGCTATACAATAAGAGGCCCAGTGTATTGCCTGTGAGAAGAAAAAGACTTTACAACAAGCAGAGAAGAAGAGACAGGCTGTTGAATGTGCTAGTAAATACTGACAGTCAGAGCTTCAAGCACTAGCTTTAAAGTGCTGTCAGCACAGCCTCCCTATAAAAGAACCTTATTGTGGCAAGCCTATACAATCTTTTCAAAGCAGTAGTAAGAGCTCTACAAGCCTCCCTAACAAGTCTTTAGACTCTCTAGCTGAGAAATCTACTGCTGACATTCCTTTACAATCTTTCCTATCCACCCCCCATATCTCTTGCTCTGGCCACAATATCAGGCCATCCACATGTTTATTTTCATAGCCACACTAATTTCTATGCTTCAAAGAACACACTCATTTAATATTTAATAGCTAGTTTAATAATAATAATTTGTTGTTGAGATAATTAATAAATTTGTAGCGTGAAGCATTGAAAGGAATTTGGCTCGTTGAGTGGTTTGGCTCGTTGAGTGGTGAGCCACCTTATAGGACATATCGCCGCTCTGACAACAACTTGTGGCGTCACTTCTCCAAATTAACCACAGGGCTGCTCCCCTCACTCCCAAGTGCAGTCACGATGTAGTCATACCAGTATGAACCGAGGCCTACAATCCAGTACTTCCTTTCTTCCACAGCCAGGCTCTTTTCCGCTTTACTGAGGCTAGTTTCGCATCCAGTAACGTCACCAACCCGTGCGAGTACCTGAGCAATGGAATACAGAACGATACCGTGGTTGAATCCCTGAGTCCAGCCAGACCGCTCCACAATTGCAAGTGCTTGGTTCCATCGGTCAAGGGCTTCGTTCCACTGGCCTTGAAGATGTGATATCCGTGCTAGCCCGGCCCAAACACGGAAGTGCTCTGTACTCTGGTTGATGTCTGGCTCAGGGATTGCTTCAATAATTGGAATTAACTCTTTCAGCTTCTCCTCAGCTTGTGTAAACAAGCCACGTCGAATAAAGCTCTCTATGAGAGCAAGCCGTAGTCGCCTTCCAGTGCCGATGTTATACCAGCCATGACTCTGACTTATCTTCAGGACTTTATCTAGCACTGCTTCTGCGTCTTGAGGCTTCCCCACTTCACTGTACAAGTCGGTAACATTGGTGACTAAAATCATCTGCCAACCTGTGCTCACAAGGTAATCTTCGGCAGAGAGGTTTTGAAGAAGCTTCTCCAAGTACGATAATGCTTCGACAAATCGACCCTGGCTTCGAAGAATCCTCCCCAACATTACATCACGGTGTTGTAAAACTAAACGTTCCATTGTCGATGGGGCGTCTGGGTTTAGTGGCCGCCAGTGAGTTAGCTTCGCTTTTGCGCGTAGGAGCTCCCCATCCTTTATGAGAGTTTCCGCAAAGGAGATCACAAGATCACCTTTTGTCGCGTTGTACCTCACATCAGAAATTAAGTCTTCATCGAGTCCTGACAATGCTGTGTTGTGGATGGGGTTTTCTAAGGCCTTATAGGAGTCTGTAGTTTTGCCCTGCATGCGCAGAATTTTGCTTTCTGTGAAGGTAGCCCATGCTCCCAGATAACAATCATGCTCATCCTTCAGAAGATCTTTGATTCTGCGGATGCATTCATTCTTCCACGGATTGAAGTTAAATTTCGCAGCGGAAAGTAACAACATAGTGACAGCTCGTTTAACTATCAAGTATTGATCACAACCATCTGGCATGAGTTGATCAAACTCCTTTAAAATGCGAGGAATATGCATGAACATCTCACGTCCAATGACCCCGAAACTAGAGAAGGGTTAGTAAGGGTTTAGAGACTCAAAATATTAACATACTTCTCATCCACGTATACACTAAACGGAAACGCATGGGCAACCAGCAATATAGCCTGGACCTGCCATTTTTGACGCTCTTTAAGCGATACTCTATGGGATGCACAATTTTGAACAAGAGGGTGGACCGACAATGTGCTGCTTTCTCCAGTGGCGTTTCTTTGGATCAAAGAAGATGCAAGAAGTTGTGAAATAGCATTATCGAATTGCATTTCATCATCAAGCAGAGTGATTAATTCTTGATTAAGCCCTGCATCTTTGGGCGTAATCTGGACAATCTCACCATTATGGCCCCATATCCTCTTGGTTGAGCATGCTCTGTGGAGCATTGTGTTAGATATATTATTCCCTTCAAGAAATGAGAAAAGGATAAGAAGATTCGAAGCTTTTGGGTGAGCTATCTCGAGCTGACGGAAACTCAGTTCCCAAAGAGTGGCCACGGTTTTCTCGTAGCCACTAACCCCAGGGGCGACGTTTAAAATCTCGTATTGCTTGTCCTGAAAGAGGCGATGATAATCTTTCAGTGATTTCTGGCGTCTTCGGATAAATGCACCTGCTTGGTCAATGGCTAGAGGAAGGTATCCCAGACCCCTTACCACTGCAGTCGCCTGCTTGAGATTATCCACTGTCGGGCTACCAATTGCAGCTTTTTCCAGCAGTAGCCCAACAGCGGTCTGTTCATCTAGAGGTTCCACAGAGTGTCCACCAGGGGCTACAAGACCAACAGCAGCTTGATCTCGGCTTGTAATTATGATATGACCCCAAGAGCAGCTGGGGAAATATCTCGAAAGGGAAACGGAAACCAAATTATCAGCACCATCAAAGATCATAAGCCAGCTGGAGTTCTTGGGGTTTGAGAACCACCGCCTGAGAGAATCTACGCTGTTTGAGGTATTACCTAAGTTTAAGCGGTCGTGGATACGGTGGAAGTCGGCACGTAACGTGATATTTGAACTCGCGTTGAAGTAAACCACACCAGTCTTATACTTGAATCGGTTTCGGAGAGCGTATTGTAAGGCACTGTGAGTTTTGCCAGATCCACCTGTGGTGCAATTAGCACTGCGGATTTGAAGACAGCAAAAAGGCCTGGAGTACCTAATCCTGTTAGAGCATATATCAACGGTTGACTCGAGCTACATTGGCTGAAATATTTTTCCATAGATTCAATAAGCTCTTGTCTTCCCCGAAACGAGAAGTATCTATCAAATGGAATTTCAAAGATGGGTTCGGAGTTGAAATCGGACTTCGGAGCTGGTAGGCACTGTTACTAATTGCTGCGCTCAAGAGAGATCTTCGACATTACATTGAGCATCTTGAGAAGAGTGAGAGAATCCGGCAGGTTTTTTGGTGATATCCTGTCTGAATTTAAGAAGGCGCGTGATTACAGGCCTGTAGTTGCGGTCATTCACAGAAGAAAACCGTGAAATACTTCGATGATCTGCAAATTGTCCAATTGGGATCTCGTTCGGAACACAGAGGAGCGCCGATTGTTCTTTGACAACCTAGATATGTGGTCAGTTTTCTTCAGTGAGAAATAGTAGTGGTAACGTACAAAGCGTCTGAAGATACCAAAACTGGTCATCTCCATCTCAAAGAAGGATACGATTTGTAATTTTCCTGCCCGCTCCACAAAGTCTTCAGCAACTTCGAACAGTACCTTGGAACCTTTCCGAAGCGAGCCCAGTAATCCTCGAGCTGGCCGAAATGGAGAGCAGGCGTGAGTGATGTTTGCAATAATTTTCCTGGCATCTGCAATGGTAGTGCCACCGCGAGGGGTTGCTACGTCATTAGTTTGCTCGTAACAGGAGGCGCCGATCTATGGAGTACAAACCCAAAAAAAGGATTCCGTAGGCTGCATCTTGGACGCTGGACTGTTCTTTCGGGCAGCGAATGAGAAGGGCCTATGACAATTTAGAAAGCATCCAATTTTGTAAAGCAAATCTCGAAACCTTTTTAAGAACTGTCCCACCTAGGCTGTGGCAGACGAAGACTAGAGGCCTGTTAATTTCCTACAGAATATTCAGCAAGTGTTCAAGGCCATTGGGCGAAACTCTCACCTTGGCTGTCTTTCGCGAGTCTGCCAGTTCAGATAGAAGCTTCGTGGCTATGTTTCTGAGATCTTGATGCCCAGCGAAGTTGCGAAGCCTTGCGTTATAACCAAAAGTCATGATTCGGACGTTGGGTAATTCCCTGGGTAGCAAGTCACGCAGCCACATCACCCGGCTCTCCTTGTGCGTCCAGGTCTCAAATGCATCTCCGTTGAGCCCATGGATAGCAACAAGACTAAAGACGTGTCAACTACCTCGCTGGTCATGGAAATGATGAGGACTTACTCATAGAGAACATCGTCAGAGCAAGCCGGTTCGTACAGGATTGTAATGCCGTACCCAACACCTGTGCCCATCTTATGTTGTCTTATTATATAATTGAATGAGATTCGAGATTCGTCTGAACTCGCAGTACATCTGGAAAAGATTGCGTCTCATCTCCGCGAGTCATTGTTTCTGTTTAAGAACCTAAGTTCAGGCTCGGGAACTAAAATTGTACAAAACATTTCAAACCGAAGACATGATTTCAAACCAATCACGTCACGGCTCTAAGCGCCAGACCAGGGGAGCGTAAACGTTAAGTTATGTAGCCGCCATCCGGATCCTTGCTCATTGCATGATATGGCCCAGTGCGGAACGGCTCGCACCAGCGCCCAATTAAGGGGTGACCGAAACGAGGTCGCCACTTGGACGATTTCGTTTTCCACGATGAATTGTCAGCCTTTTCGACATCAGATCACCCTTCTTACCTGTCGCCAGCAAGCACTCTTGGTGTAGATCAAGCAATGGAGACGGAGACGATACGAAAAATGCGAAATTACTTTGTATGCCTTTTCAGCCTCACAATCTCTTCCGACGTTGTCGACTCACAAAATCCAGGATGCGATTCGCAAGTTAAATTCGACTCAGACAGGCTTCGCACTTTTGAGAGAACGCAAACGACTAAACCACAGTATAAATGCCTCGGCTGTAGATCAGATGAGAAAATGGGTGCAATGTCTGGGCTACTCTGTAGGTGCTTCAAAGCAACTGGCCACTTCGACAAAGCTGAGATTATGATATATCAGATTAGCGATCTCGACCGACTCAATATTGTTCATGTCGGTGGCACGAAAGGCAAAGGTACGGCTTGTGCCTATGTCAACTCCATTCTTCAAAAGTATCGCCAATCGTGTGGGGTGCCGCGAAAAATAGGACTTTACACCTCTCCTCATCTAATAACCGTGCGTGAGAGGATACAAATCAACTCTGAGCCCATATCTGAGGAAAAGTTCGCAAAGTACTTTTTTGAAACCTGGGACGCTCTTGAAACGTCAGGCCGCAATGACGGTCTCGATCCAGTGCCCAAACCGCCGTATTTCCGATTTCTAACGTTAATGTCATTCCATGTTTTCTTAAGCGAGGGAGTTGACACTGCTATATACGAAGTCGGAGTGGGTGGTGAATTTGATTCGACCAATATTATCGAGAAGCCTGTTGCTACTGGTATCACCACGCTCGGCATTGACCATGTGGCTGTGCTAGGTGATACGATCGAAGAAATAGCGTGGCACAAAGCGGGGATATTTAAAAGAGGATGTCCAGCGTATACAGTACCCCAGCTGCCTCATGCGATGGAGGTATTGAAGAAAAGAGCAATAGAAAAGGGGGTTAACCTCAACGTGGCTCGAAATTTTTCTGTGCTCGACAATATTAACATCAAACCAGCAGAACATTTCCAAAAGAAGAATGCTTCTCTAGCAATCATATTAGCAAGCATTGTGTTGAAAAAGCTTGGGATTGCCACAAACTGCATACCTGATACACTTCCCGACCAATTTATTCAAGGTCTGGAAAATTTGGTGTGGAGAGGAAGATGCGAAACTCTCACAAACAGGCAACAATCCTGGTATCTTGATGGTGCACATACAAGAGAGAGTCTTGAACTAGCCTGCTCCTGGTTTGGACGGGTTTCTCGGCCAAGGTCAGTTGCTACCATATGTCAGTCTACTATAGTTTTAAATGCCTGTGATCTCACATTTGGAATTTCAGGGAATTACCTTGTGTGCTTATTTTCAATCAACAGTCATCAAGAGACGCTGTCTCACTTCTTAAAACTGTTCATCGTATTTTATACAATGAATTTTCTGTGACATTCCAGTATGCTTTGTTTTGCACCAATATCACACACAAAGGCCGGTCCTACAATATTGGTATGTGCTAAATAGCCAGTCATACAGTAAAATGAAAAACTGATCAGCTGTGCCCCCCAGAGTTTGTCAACAAAAACATTGATCCGGATACACTTCAAACACTCACTCTACAGAAAGAATTAGCAACTACTTGGCAAGGTCTGGATCCCTGCACTGAAGTAGCCAGTTTGCCCTCAATTGAAGATGCCATTGATTATGTGAGAAGTATCAGTGGAAGAAATTGTGCTGAACAAGAAGCCCTGATTTTTGTGACGGGAAGTTTCCATCTGGTTGGTGGTGTGTTATCCATCCTTGAAAGACAGAAAAACACTTCCACAAGTGAGATATAATAGTGGGGGAGGCAGAAGGAGATCAAAGAGCTCTGAGCCCGGTCATTTAAATTTTAGTTGAGCGTTCAACATGCTTGTACAGATTCTTAGATAATGCATTTAGGATGCAACTAACCAATATCACATCAAGCATAAATTGGTGTGTACAGATCTCTCGGAGGGTGTGAACAGTTGGATTTTCTCAGATCTAGCCAAGCTGCTGAAAGTTATCAGGGGGGTGTGTTACAAGTGTTATAACACCACAACCCCCAAATAACCTCATCAAAGAGATAAATCAAAGAGATTTCTTTCAGGATGGTGAGAATACTTGATTTAAACTTTACAGCGGTTATTGGAGGCTTGGCATAACTGCCCTGGTAACACACGAAAACACTCCCATATAACTCATAGCCCACATGTACGGAGTACTGTCTATCCTGCATAAATTGCCAGGCTGGCAAGGCACATAAATTGAACAGCCTGCGACCTGATCCGTACAGAGCTAAAATTCCGCACACCTTATCAGTCTTCCCAAGTACCCCCCTATGTTATTACAGACCTGTTTTTCTGAGTTCCTGGCAACCTTGGCTTTCTACAATATCAGCGATGAGTTTCCCAGTCAGCAAACTCAGCACTGAAGGCAAGCAACAAGCTCTCAAGATCCATGATTTAACGGCCTGGTCTCATTACTGCGAAATATGTATGGTTGACTTTGTGATGCTATGTTACAAGTTGAGGATATGCTGTCCTACAAGCATTTGCCACAAACACCATTTTAAGAAATTAATTTGTCCATTAGCTAAATACAAAGCAAACACACCACACTCCCACACCCAAAAGAAATATTTAATAAACGGATCGTCTGTTATCAGATGATCATCAATCTCTATTCACTTGCGAATACATTGCAAGTCCCCCGTGGGGGTTTAAAGCCCAATCTGCCTTGGAAGTCCTGTTCTCAGGCTATGCGCACGAAGGGACGTCCGAGCTGAAATCACATGTACTGCCTTTGCCTTTCATTTCGGTGATATGAATTATACTCAGGTGGTTGACATTGGCACCTCCGCAATCGACTTTTAAACCTTGTAGGCTTTCGATTATGAAGTCATGCCATTGGGAATTGAACAACGGAACCCAAAATAAACGGGGCTCGGACTTCATATTGGACCTCGCCCTCTGCAGCATGTGTGTGGCCTCCGTTTCATGGCCAGTCACCATCATCAAGTGAGTGAGTGAGGATTGTACAAGGCCGGCATTAAAAGTTTCGTCCAGCTTGAGGCCCTCCAAAGCTGACAAGGCATGCTTCCAACGTGTCAGGGCGTCCTCCCAGTGAGATTGTTTATGGGAAACCCTCGCGAGTGAGACCCAGACACGGAAACCATTGAATTTAGCATTATAATCCAGATTGTCAGGGGACAAGAATGCACGTCTGAGGTCGTACAAGAGTGTCTCTGCTTCAGCATACATATTCCGCTGCAGGAAAGTCTCTGCAAGTGACATCTGTAACCGTCGTCCCGTGGCAATGTTTTGAGTTCCCTTTTCCCTCATTGAGGCCAATTCCTGTAGCAGAAGTTTTTCAGCCTCGACAGGCTGGCCCAATTCGCAATGTAGACCTGCAACTTCGGAAAGGAGAACTCGATACCAGCCTGTGCCCTTAAAGTAATCATCGAGCGAACCGCTTTGAAGAACGCTGTCGAGCTGTTCAAGTGCCTCCTTAAACTTCCCCTGTAGACGAAGGATCTTGCCTAGGGTCATGTTGCGCGCTCTCGATGTTAACTTTTCAAGAGTAGAGATTTCCGTGCTTAGCTGTTCCCACTCAATCAATTCTGCTTTCGCTTCGGCAAGCTTGCCCTGGCGGACAAGATTCTCAGAAAGTGAAATTATAAGGTCCCCTCGTTTGGCATTAAATCTTTGAGTCAGTTCCGACTTTTCTGCGAGAGGCGTGGCCTTAACCCGCAGGAATGTGTGCAAGACTCTCTCGGACTCTTCTGTCATTCCTGACATTCTCATTACCGAACTTTCTCTATACGCAAGCCAGGCATTGAGGAAGGGATCATCGTCGCCTTCTAGAAGCTTCTTCGCGCGACTAATTGCTTCAACCTTCCATTTCGCGTTTGAGAATCGTGACGCGGCAAGGAGACATGCTGCAAGTTCGTGCCGAAAGGAAGTCGGCTCTCCGTCCTCGAGAGCCATGCTGTCATATTCAGAAAGAACCCGGCTTAAATGGGGGAATATAGTCCTGCCAATTGGTCCGTTTCTGTATAGTCTGTGTCAGTCCTCGAACTTCGATAGGCGACCCTAAATACATACAGAGGTTCAATGTATCGACTCCGTGGAAATGCGTGACAAACCAGCAAAAGTGCTTGCCATCGCCACCTTCTCGTCTCTGATGGCGATAAGCGTTGTACGGCACAGTACTGAACCAAAGGATGTATAGAAAAGGTTCTCAGTCCGTCTGACCCCCTACCGCAAGATATCAGCGAGAAAGAAAGCAGCTTTTCCATAGCCGTGTCAAATTCGAAATCGTCCTGTATGAACCTCGTCAGGTTTACGTCCACGCCTTCTTCCTCTGCTCGAATCTCTTCCACCTCGCCATTCGTACCCCACCGCTTCTGGGGAGACGACCCTCGTTGTAGGAGCATCTCGGGAATAGACCACGGCTCCAAAAATGAGAAGAGAAGAAGGAGATGGAAAGCTTCAGGTGATTCTCGTTCTACTTGCTTGAAGTTAATTTCCCACGCCGTCAAGACTGGCATCTCGGCATCGCCAGGATGCGATGTAAAACGTAGCAGTTCATTCCGGTGCGTCATATAAAGTGTACAATACTCTCTAAGACTGCGATGCCTTGAACGTATAAATGTGCCAGCTTGTACCAAAGCAAGGGGAAGTGATCCAAGGAACTCTGCAATCACCCTGGCATCTTCAGTGTCACCCTGAGTAGGGTGACGAATGCCCGACTTGTCGAGTAACAACTGTATCGCATCCTCGGTCATCAGCGGACGCAAAACATGTCCTTCTTCAGTTATGCTACCGATTGCCCCCTGGTCGCGAGTAGTAATAATGATATGACCCCAGTTCACAGCTGGGAAGCACCTCTGGATCCGTACCGACTCTAGATTGTCGGCGTTATCGAAAATCAAAAGCCAATGAGAGTTTCTGGGTCTCGCCAGCCACCTTCTGACAGACCCAATCTTGTCGTCAGGTTCCCCAAGCTCGAGAAGATCATGTAAGCGGCCAAAATCGGCTTCAAGTGAGGCAGACGATGACGCATTTATAAATGCAATACCTGTTTTATATTTCGACAAACTCTGTAGAACGTAGTGCAAGGCCGTCTGTGTCTTACCTGAACCTCCTAGATAGACTTAGCCAAAGTGCAATGCCTAATTTAAAGAAGATCTTACCGAGGCCGCATAATGCAAACGTTCGTCTCCTTTGAGCATGGTCGTGATCGCCATGGAAGTAAGCCCTCAGCAATCTAAATACGTCATCTCTGCCACGGAAGGATGGACATGGTTGAGCATTAATGTCGAATAGAATGGCGAAATCTGTTTGGCAATTAGCTACGCTTAATTGCAGAAAGTAAGTACCTTTCTCAGGTCAATATACCACCTGACTCAGGACCTGATGGCGTCTGCTTTGTACACCTGGGGCGTAACTCCTCGGCAATATTTTTCAGCCTCGAAGCTACGGTGAGGAAACAACGGTCTTGGGGCGACCGGAATCTAACAAGGTTGCGATGGTCAGAAAATTGGGGAATAGTAATTTCATGAGGGACCCTGGAGATTGCAAACTGTTGCCGGACAATCTACAGAGAAAGATTAGTTGAGATGGCTTGTTCAAATACCGGAAAAGCGTCGGGTACCATTTTTCGAAAAAACGGACCAATAGAGGTCAATTCCAACTCATAGAAAGACATGAGATGAACTTTCTTCCTCCTTTTAATGAAATCACCAGTGATTTCTAGTATGGCCTCAGGCTCCTTCCGCAACATCCCTATAAGAGCGCGAGGTGCTTTCATTGGTGAGCAGGTGAAGGCTATGTTCGCCAAAAGCTTCCCCATGACTGCACCGTTTCCATATTGAGGCGTGCCTATTGCTGAGTTAAACAATGTCCAAGAAGGGGGTGGCCAGGTGGATATTATTCACCATGAAATAAGATGGTATGTACTGATTGCTGTACTCGCTCTTGCTCCTCAGAGCAGCCAATTAATAACGCCTGTGCAGTGACTTAGCACGCTCTTTGCAAATCATTGAATTGGAGCAATCACCTTCTTTGCTACAATTCCTCCTAGACTGTGGCAAACAAAGACAAGAGACCTGGATTTCTCCTTGTGATCAGGTCAGAATAGCGCAATGAAGGAGAAAAAGGTCACCTACATCTTCTGTTGTCCTAACATCAACCAACTCAGTGAGTAATTTAGTTGATATAGCATGTAAATCTAGCCGGGCAGTAAAGCTATTGAGACACGCATTAAATCCAAAGGTCATAATGCGAATGTTAGGTATTGCTTCTGGCAGCAGATCCTTCAACCACATGACCCCAGTTTCTCCGTGAGTCCACGTTTTGATGGGATCACCATTGAGACCATGGATGGCAACCAAACTATGATTCTAGTTAGCTATGCGTTCTTGTAAATATACTCTTCCGCATAATTTGGTGGGGAGTAATTTTACTCAAAAACAATCCCATCGGAACCAACAGCTCTCCCTCCGGCAGCAACATGGGTTGCAGGGTCACGGAGAATGGTAATTCCATATTGATTATCCCTAGTCATCTTGCAGCTGTACTCTGTACATGCTCGCACATCTGCAGAGCTGGAGGCAAGTTCAGAGAGACAGTGAAATCCAGACAATCCATCGTCAAACAAGACACGTGAAGTTAACCCCTGACACTGGCTGAACCTGCATGCCACATTACATACCACCAATCCCAGCTCAGGGAGCGCCGACAGAAACCGCCTCTAAGCTACTAGGACACACGTCCCGCATTGGTTCCTTTTTTTCTTTTTTTGCTTTTTAAGGGGATTGAAGCGGATTTAATCATCCTTGTTGGAAGCGCGCTGCCTGCAGTTGGGACTTGGGGTTAAAATCTCACCTCTGTTTCCTGGTCATTATCTTTGAAGTTTTTAATTGTCTTTTCTACTGTTAAGTTAAACTAATATTATTAGACTTTCTGTCTTCATTTTGATTTCATCTACTTATCTCCATACACCTTCTAACGCATCTTTCAGGAGAGAGGTTAGTGTCCATTTTTGTGGCTCAACAGTCTCATGTTGTGGTTTAACAATTCATTCTGCAGAGCAGCTTCTTCTCACAAGCAACTTTTTTTTCTTGCTCACAGTAACTTTGAGACAGAGTTTTCCAGTGGTGATCTCTTCATGCATCATTTAACTGGACCTCTACTATATGGTGTTTGGATTTGAGAGGTTTTTGTTAACATGCAAAGTGTAACCAGCAGAGGAATATTCAGATTCCCTCATTACTCTAGAGTACTCCAGACCAGATGGTTCCATCTGAAGAACCCCTTCACTTTCTGCCAAACGGATGATGTTAGGGTTGTGTCTCAGAAACTCACACCTATAGGGATCAGATGTATATACCCCTCTCTGTTTTAAGTGTCCGAGAGTGCAGTTTATCCCATTTGGCGGCTGTAATTCATTCTATAAAGAGGGCTTATCCTGCTTTTTGACATAGATGATTGCTTTGCCATATATCTTTCTTGCCTGTAGATCTTCCATGGCAACCTTGACTTTATCGAGACCATGGTACATCTTTGGATAGACAACCGGCTTGAGCGCACCCGAACCAACCATTCCCATCAAGCCTCTCCACACTTGCTCTGATTCTTTGGGATTCTTTCGATCTGTGTCTCCGTATCGCTAAGAATCGGGAAGAGAAGGTGGTCAGCATCCCCAGGAACAGCATTGATGGGTTTGTCTAGACGGTATGATATTACCACTTACATAACCGATTATGACAGCTTGTTTCAGCAATATTCTGTTGGCCGTGAGTTGTTCCATGACACCTCCTCGACCAGCAAAACCAACCAGAACGATCTTTCCGCCCACCGGTCTCAAGCAGCGGATGCTCTCTTTAACAAGACCGACGTTGTCAATTACGACGTCTATTCCATGACCACATGTTATATCCTTCGCTTCCTTCTCCCAGCCCGGCCCAGAGCCAGTCGCGACAATGCCGTCGACGCAACCTACTGTCCTCAGAATGCCGACCTTTTCAGAATTTCGAGTGTCCCTAACACCTGCGATGACTTTGGCCCCTAAAGCCTTGGCGATTTGGCAGGCATATACACCTATTCCCCCGGCGGCTCCATGGACCATAACCCAATCACCCTCTTTGACTCCGCCTCGGATTGCAACAGCACCATACGCGACATTTGCTGTTGCTGCAAGCCCGGCAGCGTCCTCAAAAGTCCAGTTGTGCGGGATATGGTGGAGACTTCGTGCTGGAACAACAATCCATTCAGCATATGCACCCAACCCTGCACCAAAGACCTTGTGTCCTGGTTTAAACTGCGGCCCATCAGCAGTGGCTGTGCTACCGACAGCGAAAACTGTCCCAGAAAATTCGAGCCCCAGGGTGAACGGCGGGCGGATCAACGACGTGTTGTTTTGATGTTTTCCTTGAGCATAGAGGAGGTCAACATGATTCAGTGCTGCGCAGTGAATTGCGACAAGGACTTCTCCGGGCCGGGGTTGGGGAGGAAAAGGGGTAGCTTGGGGTCGCAGGGAAGATACAGAGGAGACGAATTCTGTCACTCGAATCGCGTCCATGGTAAGTGATTGTCTTATTTAATAAAGCGGTCGAGGTAACTATTACTGAAATTATGTCATTATGGGTAACATCGATTAGCCTCCGGCATTCCAGTGAAAACACCTAGCGTTTTCGACCTGGCGAGAGCCTGTCATTGTCATCAAATGCTCTCTCGGTTTGCCGTGTTTGCTGGGAAAAATGTTTAGATGCCGAACCTCGGAAGCATTATGATCAAGTCACGTGATACTAAAGCTGTCGGGACCGCGGGATTATCCACCAAGACTGTATATCAAGTCAGCGACTCTCCATTTCAAAATTTCACTCATCGTCAATCTAAAATCACTCCCTGGGTTTCTTATGTGGGGTCTTAGCACATATCTGATCCTAAATATCAATCCCGACAACCAGAGAAATGAGACTAGTCTGGATATCTGAGAGAAACATCTTGTATGCACCGTACATACGGACACACATTACTCGAGATGTGTGACATTTGGAGGATGCGGAGCTTATGAGCAAGGATTTGAGGATTTTATCGTGAAATTGAGCAAAGCTTCTTGACCAGCTTTGGATGAAATAATACCTACAGGAGGTCTGTGGTATACCTGTTGCTAAATTCGGAGTACGGAGAACACCGTACATGATGTGGTTACGCCATCGTCATCATGGGAGGGATTCCTTCTACATAGGATTTGTGACTTGCCTTCCTTTTAGTCACATATATCTCTACCTCTATTTCGAGAATCATCCTTGGCGGTTTACTGTAATATCGCCCAAGCTGCCGGTTGAATTCCTCCGAGCGCGCACCGCCACTCAGCAAACGGCAGATGTGGAGCTGCACGGCCGCACGAAACGCGCCAAGCCACGGGTTCCAGCCGCACCGCTCCAAACAAAGCAAACAAGCAACGCGCCAAGACGTGCCGGAGCTGATCCCCGAAGCCGCAATTGGTCCGGACCGGCGGTGATGATGACGACGCCAGAGAGGAAGCGGATTCGCTGCCCCTGATTGATATGCAGCTATTCCGTACTCCGTGCTCCGTATGGAATTCGAAGTCAAAAAAGCTACCGAATGCAGGAGATGGCGAAAGAAGGGGCTTTTGCGCCTTCCTTTTTGCTCCTGAACTTGGACGATGGAAACGTTCAATTACGGAGTAATCAAATCAGTTTTTCGTGTTTTGCTTTGTTTGGCTTTTTCTTTTTCGTTTTCTTGTTGCTTGCCTGATCGCTCGCTATGGTCCTCGTTCGAAGATTTACTTTAGCCTTAATATTCTCGTTTTGCTTCCTGTTCAGCCTCCTTCACCTCAATTCCTCCGGCACAAATAGAGAACCCTCGGGGACGAAGCGCCCGCTTCGCAATTGGTGGAAAGATTATGCCACCGAGTATCCCGTGACGTCGATGATCTCTCTCCCCACGGGGAGTCCGAAGCAAATCCCGCCGATTCAGTTCAATTTCGGCGGAGAGGATGAAAAGACGAAGACGCTCCGGGAGCAACGGCGGGATGCCGTAAAGAACGCCTTCTTGCATTCGTGGAAAGGATATAAAGAAAGAGCTTGGGGTTATGACGAGGTTGGTCCAGTGAAGGGCAATGTGAGGAACACGTTTGGCGGCTGGGGCGCAACGCTGGTGGATAGTTTGGACACTCTTTGGATCATGGGATTGAAGGCAGAATTCGAGGACGCCGTCACTGCAGTTCAACGGATTGATTTTTCGTACTGCGAAGAACCTCTCCTGAACGTTTTTGAGACCACAATTCGTTACCTTGGTGGGCTTCTTGCCGCCTACGATCTGTCAGAGGGCGCATATCCAGCCCTCCTTCAGAAAGCGGTTGAAGTGGCGGATTTGCTGTACCTTGCATTTGATACCCCGAATCGGATGCCCGTACTTCGCTGGGATTGGCAGGGCGCTAGGGACGGTACACCGCAGGAAGCCAGCCATGCGAATATATTAGCAGAACTCGGCTCGCTCTCTGTGGAATTCACTCGATTATCGCAGTTAACTGAAGATCCAAAGTATTACGATGCGGTCCAGCGTATCACCAATGTGCTGCAAGAGAATCAAAATTCCACTCGGCTTCCGGGAATGTGGCCACTTGGTATTGATGCACTCACCCCTAGGTTTATAGCCGACCGTCGATTCACCTTTGGCGCCATGTCTGATTCTCTCTATGAGTATTTGCCAAAGGTAAACCTCCTGCACCAGCTGGCTATCACCATTTGACTAACCTCTGCAGGAGTATCTAATGCTGGGCGGGCAGTCGTCACAGTATAAAGAAATGTACGAAGTCGCCATGGAAGTTGCAAGAAAGCGCCTGTTTTTCCGCCCTAGAACTGCCGCAGGTGAAGATATCCTAATCTCAGGGGCTGCATATGCTGTTGGTAAATCGATAGTCCACCTAAAACCAGAAGGCCAACATCTTACATGCTTTGCCGGGGGTATGGTGGCTTTAGCTTCAAAAGTTTTTGATATTCCAAATGATCTAGAGATTGGAAAGAAGCTCACCGAAGGCTGTATCTGGGCCTACCGAAGTATGCCCAGTGGTGTCATGCCTGAAATCTTCACAGCGGTCGCTTGCGATGAAAACGAGGACCCTGGTTGCAAGTGGAGTCCTCGTCTCTGGTTTCGCAGCGAGGACGATGAGAGAATGACTATAGGTGAACTCGAGAAGAAAGCCCAAAAGCAAGGACTGATTCCGGGATTCCTTAAGATCGATAATGCGCAGTATCATCTAAGGTATGTCATGTATCATGAAAATCTGCTGCATCAACGTCTGACTGGCCTGTGAATATAGGCCTGAAGCCATAGAATCTATCTTTCTCTTGTATCGCATCACTGGTGATACCAGCCTTCAGGATAAAGGCTGGAACATGTTCACTGCCATCGAAAAGCATACACGAACAAGAACTGCCCATGGATCCCTCAGCGACGTCACAGTATCGAAGCCGGAGGTTTTGAACGAAATGGAGTCATTTTGGACCGCGGAAACACTGAAATACTTCTATCTTCTTTTCAGCGAGCCGGACCTCGTTAGTTTGGATAAATATGTTTTTAATACGGAGGCCCATCCTTTGAAAAGGCCATTGTAGGAGATGGCTGCTCGTATTCTGCTGGATTCTGGAACACTTATGGAGAACATTCCCCGAACTTATTAATTATATGCGGGGCCTTCCGTCTCTGGGAAGATGGAATTGCTCCGAAGAAAAGACATTACCCTATCCGATTTGACATCACAACCTGTTCTTTTCATTCTATATACACTGGTATCGAATCGCCGGCGGAATATCCGCAATGGATGGATGAAATGTTGACATCTCCAAGACTAAAGCAACTCGTGCCCCCACGTCACATCTATTCATGCGATCAAATGGACTGATTTTTGCATGTAGGACCTCAAAATGCACATTCTCGGATCCACTCATCCACCCACACGCAGAAATCCCCAGCATTAGTCCCTGTTCGGCTTGAGGATACCTCTTTGACTGAAAAAGGCTATCACTCCAGGTGCAGACTGACAACACAATGCATGGCTGCTGCAGTCACAGCTTAGTGGGATTGCTTGAATCTTAGAGAAGAATTAAAGGCTGAGGGTATTGGTTTGGTAAGGTTACTTGTAGGGCTCAACAAAAATATGAAGTTTTGCAAAAAAATCAAAAAACATTGAGTTGTCGTAGCCAATTGTGCATATTGTACACTCCGTACCCCGTACTTTGTACTGCTGTGATCCGTACCGCGCAAGGCGAAGCTTTGCTGATGCTGACTAAGCGATGTTACACGGCATGGCATGATGTCACGCCTCGACGCCAAAGGTACCAGGTGAAATGCTTTGAGAAACTGGCTGCAGAGACCGGGCTTAAAGACGAGACGGCCGGATACCTACAGATCAATACTTTGCAATCACCAGATAACACATGCCAGCTGCATCACATGGAGAGCTTTGACGACGTGGCTCTTTCCGCCAATGCCTCATCCGAGACCGTCGCGCTAGACGAGCAGTCAGGTGGACAGCCGCAGCACGCCGAAGATACCGAGATCAAAAGGAGTTCATGCGATAATGCCATTCTGAGTGGGAAAAGCGAGAAGACAGGCCACGACGGCCCGAACGGCTCGCAGCAAGACGTACCACAGCCCCAACGGGAAGCCAATGAAGGCGGCGATACCCCGCCCGCGTTCCCGCAGCTCCAGTTCCAGCGACGAAATTCGACAGACATGCCCATATTCGACGGAGATGGAGATGGCGGGGATGAAGAACCGAATGTTGCAAAGTCGTTTGAGCGGTCGTCTTCGCCCAATGCCGCGACGCTGCGAAGCCGAGAGGGTGGCGACGAGCGGCCATGCGACGATGGGATTTCGAGGATGCACAAATTTTCCCTATACGAGACATCGACGCGATACTATATGGTTGGAATGGATCTCATCGATAAACGATTCCGGATCTTGAAAATTGATCGCACGTCTGAATCAGACGACCTCACTATTTCAGAGGACGATACTGTGTATACCAAAAGAGAGATGAACCAGCTGCTGGACGCTGTGGATGATGGAAATAAGAGCTCTGGGGGTTTGAAGCTACGTTGCAGCGCGTGGGGGCTTCTTGGGTTTATAAAATTCACGGGAACGTATTACATGCTGCTTGTGACGAAACGCAGTCAAGTTGCCATGATTGGCGGACATTATATTTACCAGATTGATGATACTGAGTTGGTTCCGCTCAGCTCTTCCAGCTCCAGCAAAACAAAATCCGAAAAGCATGCAGAGGAGACAAGGTTCATCAACATCATGAATAATGTTGACCTGACGCGTTCCTTCTATTTCAGCTACTCTTACAACATTACGCAAACGTTGCAGCGGAATATCGCATCCGAAAGAGAAGCTCTCGAGAAGGGTCAGCCGGGCGCCAACAGCCATAATCTCAACTCCATGTTTGTGTGGAACCACTACCTCTTGATGCCGGTTGTTGACTCATTGAAAAATGCGTACGACTGGTGTCTGCCCATTATCCATGGCTACGTGGAACAAACATCGATGTCTGTCTACGGCAGACTAGTATTTATCACACTCATCGCCCGGCGATCCAGATTCTTCGCTGGAGCGCGATTTCTCAAGCGCGGCGCCAACGATCTTGGCTACGTAGCCAACGACGTGGAAACAGAACAAATAGTCGCCGAAATGCTAACTACTTCATTTCATGCTCCTGGGCCAAAGCTTTATTGCAACCCACATTATACGTCTTATGTCCAACATCGTGGAAGTATCCCTCTTTACTGGACCCAGGACAACACCGGGGTTAGTCCAAAGCCAGACATTGAGATCAACCTTGTCGATCCGTTTTATTCTGCTGCTGCCCTCCATTTTAACAATCTATTCGAGCGGTATGGTGCCCCTGTTTACGTCTTAAATCTCATAAAATCGCGGGAACGGATGCCTAGAGAATCGAAACTGCTGGTAGAATACACCAATGCAATTAACTATCTCAATCAGTTCCTTCCCGAAGACAAAAAGATTATCTACAAAGCATGGGATATGAGCCGTGCCTCTAAAAGCCGTGACCAAGACGTTATTGGAACGCTGGAAGATATTGCCCAGGATATCATCCCGCGAACCGGATTTTTCCAGAACGGCGAGAATGCTGAGGCTGGTTTGAAAATGCAGAATGGCGTTGCCCGGACCAATTGCATTGACTGTCTCGATCGAACTAATGCAGCCCAGTTTGTTATTGCCAAACGGGCGCTGGGACATCAGTTGTATGCTTTAGGGATCATTGACCGGACCACCGTTGATTACGACACAGATGCCATCAATATGTTCACGAACATGTGGCATGCTCATGGCGATACCATCGCCGTGCAATACGGGGGTTCCCATCTCGTCAACACGATGGCGACGTACCGAAAACTCAATCAGTGGGCCGGCCACTCAAGAGACATGGTTGAAAGCTTTAAGCGCTTCTATAACAACTCGTTCCTTGATGCTCAAAGGCAGGAGGCCTATAACCTATTTCTAGGGAATTACGTATTTTCTCAGGATCAGCCGATGCTCTGGGATCTAGAGACTGATTATTACCTCCATCACTCGGATCCGCGGTCATGGGCGGAGGCTAACAGACACAACTACGTCAATTGGTACACACCAGCCTTCTTGAAGGAACGGCAAATGCCCCTAGCTGTATGGCCCAAAGGAATATCTAAGGCTCCTGTCCGGGCCTTCGATGATTACTGGCTGGAATACTATAGACCCTTAGCAGTGTCCTCATTCTCAAAGGTGTTTGCATTCAAAATGAAGTCTACCCTTCACAACCTTCCATTCCGATCTACCCAGCAAGGCCAATATGATCTAAGCCCCTTCGTCGTCCGAGCAGACCATGAAACAGAACCCCGTGAAAAGAAGACCCCGCGAAAAAAGGTTCTCGTCATTCAGGAACCCTTCGAGACTCTAAACGGAGACTCTCGTTCTATCAACTCAACTAAGGAACGCCTGCCTCCATCGGAACCCCTTCGTCTTTGGCTCCAGCAATCCGCAGCTTCAGAAAACAGATCGTCCAGTCAAAGCAGTATTCTCAAACCGCAACACCTCCCGCCGCCCCTGATAACTAGCAACTCAGACCTGCTTACACCCAAGTCACAATCGAACCAATACAGTCTCGGGCAGCTTGTTACGGAATCACTAAATCCAACCATTTCCGCATCCGAAGCAGAAGAATACGAACGATACATAAACCATCCCCTCAAAGTTCCCTTGGTTGTGACGTCCGAATCACCAATCAAAGAGGCTACGAATAATAAAGACTTTGATTTAGTCGAATACGCGAATAAAGTTTCACTGCAAGATCCGGCTCTTGATGCGTCCGCCGAGGATAATCTGGCAGATTATATAGAGTTCTTAAATGTGGGAGAGGAAGGTCTGACGGTTATAAGGGAGGATTACGGCAAGAAGAGATACAAGAGGTATAGGCAGTGGCTAAGGGGAAAAAGTTTATTCAAGCAGGGGATTGATCTCTAGTTTAACACACCAACTTATGGCATTTTTGTTCTAGGCGCAGTATTTCGGGAGGGGATGGTTTGATTTTCATGATACCCAGTCCATTTTATGATTGTGAATGCTCATTGATTTGGCAGAGCTATCTTGCTTTTTCCAAGACGGACAAACCTGTTAGGATACATAGTATCATTTCCCTTCAGAGAATATCCAGATGGAGAATATTTGTTGATATTAACATCATTCGAAGAGCTCCCGCAATCTGATATCACCGTCTGCTAGCTCTTTAAATTCAGCGTCGGTATCCATACTCGTCTCATCGTCATCATCCCCAGCCTCTTCCAATACAGCTTTCAAGACCTGAACGCATTTTTTTAAAGTTTCCTTCAACTCCAGCGGGCCTTGGGACTTTTTATCTTCCTGTTCATCATCACTCTTCTTTATATCCTCCCAATCTTCTTCGACATGCAGCCAACAGCCACATACACCAGCAAGAAGCTCTGCCCTCCATCTCCATACCCTTGGCCAAGCAGAGAGAATAAGCTGCTGCATACATTCTGTAGCAGCAACCAACAAAGGTAGATAAGCTGTTCCGAATGGATTCGTTAACGTTGACGTAAGTATCGGGATGATTTCCTGCAGATGCTTGACAGTATCGACGCCTAGTTCGCTCATCGCGATCGTTAACTGGTTAAGTAAGAGGGTGGAAATTTGCGGATGAGGAAAGGAGGAGATATATGTATCTTCTGATGGGTGAGGGGAGCTGATATGGTGGTATGAGGAGATGATACTCTGTCGCAAAACGCGCGTGAGAGCATTGGTGCGAGATTGGGATTCTTGCTCTTCACGTTTACGCTGAGAAGGGGCGGGATGATAGAGCTGTTTTGAGGGAGGAGAAGAAGGGAATCGGGTTCGGATGATGGAGAATATTGCTGGATAAGCGGCTTGGAGAAGGTAAAGGGATTGGTCTTCTGGGGTTAAAGTAGGGAGGTACAGAAGACAAGGTGTAATGGCGTCGCCAAAGACGGAGTCGAGGTTGGTGCGTTTTAAAATGTCAGATTTTGCTTCCGCAAGTGGAGATAAGAGTCGATAAAGTATCTTGCAGCCTTGTGCT